TGGCTAAAGATGAACCACCCAAGCTGCCTTGTGGAGGAGCTCCCACTGGCAAGGCCACCTCCACAGGACCCTCAGCCAGTCAGGGTTCCAACAAAGACCAGAGCCTCACGCATTGGGGATTCGGCAGAGGTGGACCCCAGGTCAGGGGAAGCTCAGGAGAGAGAGGACAGGCAAAGGGCCGAGGGGCCTAGAAGTCAGCATCACCTCTGAGGCCTTGGCTCCAGGCCTGAGATGCCAGCAACAGGGCCTCACTGCACCCGGCGGGGCCCAGCTTCTAGAGGTGCCGCCCCTCCTGCCACCTGCAGCCAGCGACCAGCCAGGGCCACCGATGTCTGCTTTCACCAGAAAGAAAGGGAAAGGCGGGCTAGGGCGGTGAGACTCCTAGGCTGGACTGGTTTTCAGTGCCCAAAGCCTCTGGGGTGAGGTCCCTTCATACCTCAGCGGCGCCTTCTGGGGCTCCAGTCCCCTGTGCTCACAGGACCACAGCTCAGTGCAGCGGCCCTGCCCAGGCACTGGCTGGCCCGACCCCATTCCCAGGGCCTCGTGCCCAGAGCCTGGGCAGCCACAGGGGCTGCCACCGTGACCCTGACAGCCAAGCAAAGGCACAAGCATGCCAATGGCTTCTGGGGCAAGAGCAGTGTGCCCTGCCCTAGAAACGGATGCTCTTGTTTTGAACAGAGCCCGTTCAGAACCTTCTACTCGAACCCCATCGTTTGCAAACACCGTGCAGGCACTGAAGCTGTGCTCCCTGGGTCCTCTGCAGGCCGCCTGCAGCAGCTACTCACTGGCAAGACCCTCTTGGGCAGCCAGGAACACTGGCAGGTCACCCTCACCACCCCAGGCTCCAGAGTTGGACAGCAAAGCCTTTGGTGCTCTCCCTCTGGTCTCTTAGCCAAGGTCCTGAGTCCTGGCTCCATATCAGAGGGGAGCAGGGGACATGCCAGGAGCTGACCGCAGCCACAGTAACGCTAGTGGCTTTGGGACTGCCACGGCAAATGCGGCCCCCTCGGCCAGCCTGCTCCTCCGGAGCCTTGGGAGGGGCTACAGACAGAAGGTGCAGGCCTACCTCGATGTCCAGCAGCAGGGCCCGCCGGCCTTGCCTTTAGCCTCGCCTCCCTAGCTCTGTCCTCTCAGCAAACTTTGCGAGTCCTTCTCTAGGGACCCAGGAAGGCCCTGCACCACATAGCTTGTGCTGCCTTCCTGACTACCGCCCCCAAGGTGAGGCTCTGCCCTCACAGGGACACCGAGACCCTCCATCCTGCGCAGGTCTGGGTGCACCCGGCAGTGGCGTCCGGAAACCACGCACTTCGCGTGTGTGCTGCCCTCACACGCCCTGCCGCCCAGTGCTGGCACCCTACACCCACCTCTAAGCCTGCACATGGCGCCCTGCCCTGAGGCAGGGCCCCCGCACTGCAAGTTATGGAACGAGCCCCGACAGGTGTACCCGCTGTGGCCCCTCAGAAGCCCTGTCACACAATGGGATGGGGTAGGACAGTGGGGCCTTTGGCTCATGAGAGACTCTAGGAGCGAGCCTGCTTACTGCCCCACGAGGACAGAGGCCAACCCTCAGCAGCAGGGAGCAGCCTCTCCAGACTCAAGCCACCAGGACCACAGGGAATGAACATCTGCTGCTGGGCTACTTAGCCGTGTGCTCAGCTGGGGGCCTAGGCCGAGAGTCCCAGACCAGAAAGGAGGAGGGAGGTGGAGCAGGGCGTGGCTAGCGGACCCCAGCGTCCCGCCCATTAGGGAGGTGAGCTTCTGGCCAAGGGGGAGGGGAACGCCTGGGAACCCTGGACCCCCACGGTGGGGACTCCTCCCACTCCACTCCGGGGACTCCTCCCACTCCGGGGACTCCTCCCACTCCGGGAACTCCTCCCACTCCACTCCGGGGACTCCTCCCACTCCACTCCGGGGACTCCTCCCACTCCACTCCGGGGCTGGGCTCCTCTCTGAGATGTGACTGGAAACACATTTCAGAGCCATTCAAAACCTCGGCGAAAACCTCGTCCAACCGCATGAGGTTGCTGAAGGTTTTCTGCAGAGACCAGCAGAGGGACGGGTGAGATGAGGCCCCTGCAGCGGTAGCCTGTGACAGGCCCATCTGTAGTCAGGATGGAGAAGCCTCCGGACTCATCTGCTCACGCATAGCGGCTTCTGTTTATTTCGCACTTTCCTGTCAAATGAATTTGGAAAGGGGCACCGTGACAGGCAGTTAAGGGTGTAAGTCACATCTCGGTCTCAGCTCGGAGTAATGAGCGCACGGGGAGCAGCACAGGCAAGGCGAATCCACGGTCTCAGAGCGAAACCGCGTCCTGGAGGACCATCGGCCTCTGCCCTGTAGGCAGCTCCGGGGGATTTGCGCAGACCTCGGCCCCTATGCCTAGAGCCCCAGGCTGCACCCTCAGGTTGCCTGGGCTGGTCCTGGCCTGGCACCCTCATGGCAGGCTCTGGATCCTGTGAAAGGCTCAAGGGGTCTAAGAGGCAGCCTATGCCCAGGTGCCCAGGAGCCTGGACAGAGCGTGCCCGTCTCCTGCCTCCTGGGCACCGAGGGCACATACTGCCGCAGACTGACCCCGTCCCAGCCCCCAGACCCTGAACCCAGAGCACGCCAAGGCCAGCCGTGTAGGCCAAGGCAGTGTGGGCCCTGGCACAGCAGGCCGGCTGTTCTGTGGCTGCTCTCTGGCTGCAGGCCTTCCCCTGACCTCCAACCCACCCTGGGCCGTTTGCACCCTTTACCAACAAAGGCTCACAGGCCAGCAGCACCCTCAAATCACACGGACCCGGTTTCCAGGACGGGTCAAGAAACCGAGGCTCAAGACAGAAGGGGGCTCCCAGGTACAGCAGCCCATACCCACACAACTTCTTCTCCTCAGTGACCAGTGTCCAATCAGAGTGGCTGTCTGCAAAAGGTGGGCAAGGGCCACGCCCCCAATGCAGGCTCGCAGCTGTGGCCTCCAAGGCTCTCCCCCTGTGGCCCTCAAGTGGCGTCCCCCCAAGGCAGACTCCCCACTATGCCCTCCAGGGGTGACCTCCCTCCCAGGGTCAGGCCAGTGCTTGCCATAGGAGCAGCCCTTCCATCGTGACGACTGGGCCTACCATCTGCCCAAGGTGAAAGAACCCACCAGCATCCAGGCGATGGCCCAGGAGAGCCAAGCAACCATATATAGCGGCCCCAGTCCTGAGGGAGCCATGAGGGGCTGGCAGAGAGGCAGGGGCCAGACTGGCTGCAGCCCCAGAGACAGGCCCTTTCTGCTGCCTCCACAAGCCTAGCCTGGGCCTAGGCACATGCAGCTGACAGTGGGGGGGGCGGCGGGCGGG